CAAAAAACAGTTGCACCTTTTGCCTTTTTGATTCCATGTACTCGATCAACTTCCATGTAAATTTTAAAGGAAAAGACGGTCCTCGTTTCTTTTTTGATTCCCTAGCTACTTTCCTGAGCACTCAAAACATGGGAGAACTAATTTACATCAAGGCTTGCTGATGGTCTTTATTTAGTCAGTCATGATTCCTCGACCTTGGTGGCAGGAGGGGACCAACAAGCCAACTTGTGGTCGTGGTCTTTCGATTTATTCATGTAATAAATAATCTTTTTCTGTATTAATGATAAAACACCCTTGACATTCTATATCTTTGTCCCTTGTTCAAACATAGATATAGTCCTTACAGTTATTACAAGTACTTGTAATTGATCTTTTAGGATCGTGAGATATTTACTTAAGTATTATAACTGTTAAACGTGTTCTTAGTCAAAGGGTTACGCCACCAATGAGGATATCGGCCTTTCCCATGAAGAGACCAGCACTTAGTGCATGTGTACTGCATCTCATCAGTAAACGGTATTGTGATATCGGCATGCATACGTGGGTGCTCGTAAGTTGACTAGTTCACTGAACTCCCTCACCCTAGAAATCTCTAAGTGGTTCTCAATAATCGAGTAGAGATATCTATGGTATAGTTGTACACCATTATTCCTTAACACCTAGACATCACTGTGACTTCTCGAGAGGACCAGCTGTATCGTGACATGTCCCTGAGTTCCACCGAGGACCGCCCCAAGAGCCAGTGTTCGTGCAGTCCAAAATCTAGTGGGAGGTCTGTGCATTGTAGTCGAGGATTCGATCGCTAGAATAGTTTTGGATGTCATGTGTGTTCTCATAGTTTGTAATCTTTAAGTCTCTGGCTAGAGCTGACTAAGTGATGATTAGGGAATTCGATTCTCTAAGTCATGCACGTACCGATTACAACACCTGGAACAATCGCACAGTAATTGAACTACTAAGGAGGTCAATATCCTAGATCAATTCATAGTAATTAAATTCTCCTAGATCAATTCATAGTAATTAAATTAATAACTATAAGGTCAATATCTATGCATAATAAAATAAGATAATAGATATAGCTTGCCAATAATAGAATTTCATTAATAACGAAAATAGATTGCTTACGATTAAATATGAAAAGACCACAACCACAAGTTGTCTTATTATTCACCTACTTTAACATTGTCGCCGTGGGATAGACATGAGCCTTGGTATGGCAAGACGAGTACAATGAGTAATATTTGGGACAGATAACTGAGCTGCTCACTAGGCTTTTTTTTTTTTTTTTCCTTGACTAATCTTGAATCTGTTGTTTGAGAATTGGACTGGTTCTAATAAGTTACCTAGTTCTAGATTTTTTTTGGGATGTTATTGTTTAGATAAAGTAATTTGGATGCTATAAAGTAATTATTGATATTCAGTTGCTTTCCTGGAACACTATTGTCTATATTATCCCTAAATCTAGTCTTATGGAAGGCATCTGAAAATTTTGTTTCCACTTGGGCCAAATACGTACTAATAGTTCTATAGAGGAACACTATTGTCTATATTATGCCTAAATCTAGTCTTATGGAAGGCATCTGAAACTTTTGTTTCCACTTGGGCCAAATACGTACTAATAGTTCTATAGAGGGGTCGAGAATACTGAAATACTCGAGAAATACTAGTTTTTTTAGCACGTGAATATGAAGCCAAATTAAATAGAAAAGTAATTTAATATTTAAAAAGATACTGATCTTGATTGGTTTGTCTCTAATAAATACATGGCCCAAGTGGTCTGGGCCGGCTTGCCTTTAACAAATAGAGGGCCCAAGTAACATAGAAGCTGCAACAAAGAGTCCACTTGCAATCGCCCACATGGGGAACAAACAGGACAACTTGAGAGAAAGGTATCAGGAATAGACGGAAAGCCTGCAGAAATCGACTAACGACTAAGTCATCTCATGGCCACCTCTCTCTAGAACTTTGAAGGAGCATAATAACCTCGTCATATGGAGGATGTGCGCTGGTTAACCTCGCCAAAGGGCATTAATCTCGCCTAAAGGTTGGGAATGGACGGGGTACTGATGTGAATGGACATTTAGCAGGACATGATAGGTGGGCGACAACAGCGTGAGCCAGTGCGAGCCTCCCATGTGGCAATATAGGATAGGTGGACGGCAATTGCTCAGACCACTACGAGCCTCCCACGTGCCCAGATGGGACTTCTGGGGCTCATAAGGTACCAGAATAAATAGAACCTCTCATAACAGTCTCAAAGTTGCCATTTTGGGATTAGTACATACATACTTTCATACAACTAGATATTCATCCCCTGTAATTATTACATTCCGACTAACTTAACAATCGAAGTGTTAATACTTTGCAGTTGAGCAGGTTTTGAGAGGTAAGCCCTGAGATGGAACATCCTCAATCTCCTTGGCAGTGCTGTTGGTCTGAAAAAGGCTTTGGTCTCATCATAAATAAATAACTGTATGCTTGGATGTTGGTGCTCAATGTGCATTTACATTGATCATAAAAAAATACTTTTATTTTACCTTGCAAGTTTAGAATCAATGTTTTGACTCTACAAAACAAAATAAATAATTAATATTTTCAAACCTTTGTAAATAACCTCAAAGTATATTTTCCACAAATCGATCGAGCATATTTGATCGTGAACATGAAGTTGATATCCCAACAGCAAAAACCATAGTAAATGTTCACGAAGTTTGTATTGTCTGCAATGTAACAGAGGTTCTAGAAGATGGTCTGAGGTATTTTGAATTTGATAATATATAGTTTATACTGTAAGATTTAAAAAACGAGAAACCTGGTGGTACTGGGTTCCTCGTCAAAGCATAAGAAGGATAAGGGTTGGGCCTAGCACCAACAATAAAACAAAACTTTGACACAATCAATTCAATATATATTAGTCTCTAAACTAATAATAAGTTAAAGGTGTTTTGAATAATATAATAATACTATACTGTAACGGACAAAAGAATAATTGAATTAATAATGTCATTGGCATCAGGGGAAGAACATATGCTATTCAAAATATAGACCGAGTGGCAACTTCCAAAACTCATGAACAGAAGGCAGCAGAGCAGTAGTGTCTACTATTCAATAATATATTCCATTATTAAAAAAAAAAAAAAAAAACAATATTCAATAAATGATGGAATATAATAACAGCTTGAATTGTATACTGGGTAAAAAAAGATGAAAATTATTGAATAAATGGAATTGAATATTTGACTAAAAGGCCAAAGAAAACACAACGAGGGGCACCTTTTCCACTCTCTGATTTGATTTGATGATGATGATCAGTACTCACTTGCATAAATTCAACTACCATGGGTCCCAGTATACGTGTTTGTGCCCTCCCGGTCAAAGTCAACTTTTATATGCTACAATTTCTTACGGATCGGACCGGACCGGGTTAAAGTCTAAACCGCATGTCTAGCCGGTTCACGATCGGCGATCAAACCGGTTTCATCCACAGCCTTTGGCTCCAAACACTTGAAAGAAGGCATTTTCACAACCGGTGTTGTACTTCCGCCGTCTCCGCCTTCCGCCACCACCTTGGGCGACTTCATCGACAAAGCCCTCGTGAAAAACGCCCACCTGTCCGACTTTGCTCCGCCGTCAATTCTCCAATATGATCTTCCACCAGCAGGCCGGCTGCTACTCCCTTCGTCGTAGCCTCCGCCGCCGGTTCTGTAGCCCCTTCTCGAGCTTCCTTCTCTGGGCAACGAAGTCGCAATTTGACTTCTGGTCCGGTTGAAGCTGGCCCGGTTCATCACGTCCTTCCTCACTTGTTCAGGCAACCTCAAAGTGAACCGGTCAAGATTTTGTCCCGGCTGGACAAAGGAGTGTCCGGTTGAATGAGATCTAAACTTACCTAAACCAAACGGTCTTTGTATAGACCACGATCTCGTCGGCCGGTTCGGGTATTCAAAACTCGAGCTACTTTGATTCTGATCTCCATCTACATCTATCACAATTTCCTCTCTTCTTGAATTACTCCTTGAATTAATGGTGGTGGTGGTGGTGTTGTCGTTTGATTCTGATGAAACTTGAACCGGACTCTCGTCGGCGGTCTGAGTCTGATCAGGAGAGAGATTGGCTCGGCAGACCGGACAGGTGACGTGTGACTCGAGCCAGGCGTCGATGCACTCAGGATGGAACACGTGGTCGCACTTCGGCAGCAAACGCAGCGTTTCATCCTCTTCAAACTCGTTCAAACAAACAGCGCACTCAAGGCCGCCTTTCCCGATCTTGTGGTCTTTCACCTCAGAGTAGGAGAAAGTTGGGAAGGTGTCGATGACGGAGCGGTCCAACCCACGCGCCGCCGCAGTCCTGCGGGCGCGCATGGAGATGGCGCGGCGGACGCTGCCCCCGGCGCCGGAGGAGTCTGAGCAGTGGCGGATGTAGATTGAGAAGAACCCCATGAAGAAGAGGGCGGCTATCAGGACGACTATGATGATCGCCATGGAAGGGCTGAACCTCGCCGCGTAAGGGTACTGGTCGGTCGGCGGCGGACGCGTCTGAGCTCCGACGACAATCATTTGCAGCAGGAAAAAGAGGAAGGAAAGGTGAAAAAGGAGCGGCCCATACCACCGGTAATTTGTTTTCATTTTGTGTGATGATCAGAATACTTGTCAACAAGGTGGTGTTTTCCTTTATCAGCGCCGCCGGCGGAAAAGGCGTATTAATTAATCAAGTTGGGCAGCGTACCTATGGACTATGAAGATATAGAGAGAGAGATGAGAGAGAAAGTAGAGCGAGACAGAAAGAGATATAGAGAGAGAAGAAGAAGAAGAATATAGTATAGAGGATGGATAGCGTGTAAGGTGTCGTGATGTTCAAGGAGAAGAAGAAGATTTGGACTATCAACTCTGACTTCTTTTTTTTTTTTTTTTTTTTTTTGTTTAAATTACAAATACCCCTTCTTCGGACTATCAACTCTGACTTTCTTTTTTTTTTTTTTTTTTGTTTAAATTACAAATACCCCTTAGGTATGGTTAATTTATGAAAAACCCCTCTTGTTTGGATAATTACATCTATCCCTCAACTATAATTTTTTCTTACATCTCCATCCTTATGGTGTCAAATTCAACATAATCATCTTGATTTTGTGGATTGTGCTCTAATTTGTACTCGTTCTGTGTAAAATTACAGTTTCTGATGCACTACAATCTGATATATACAAGCCAAAAAACACATATTATGATCATCTTGCTTCAAAATGTGGAGTTCGAATGGGATAAAACAGGTACAAAAGTGATAATATTCCATATAATCTCGAAGATTCCACTAAATTTGAAACCACAAGGGTGGACGTATAAAACAATTTGTAGTTGAGGGTGGTAGTAATTACCCAAACAAGAGGGATTTTTTTGTAATTTAACCAAACCTCAGGGGGTTGGTTGTAATTTACCATTTTTCTTTTTTTCTTTTTTCTGATTAGAACTTTCTATACGAATAAATTTCCATTTTTCCAAGTTTGAAAAATTCGTTATTTAGTTGTGATCGGCCAGATTTCTTCGAATAACTGATGAGACATAATAATAATTAAAAATATAATATATTGAAAATATATAGATCGAAAAGAATTTGGAAGAACAGGGGGTCGAGTAGAGAGTGCCTATCCACGTGGGTTTAAATAATAATAATAGTACTTTGTGTGGTCTAAATAAATACTAATTGATTGTTAACCAACTTTATTAATGATACTCATACATACATACATACTAGCTACTATTATTTGTTATTATTTCATATGACTTCCTTCATTCGCACTTAAATTGGCATATTTTGAATTTAGGCCCGCGTTCATACTTATTGACTATTCATTATATTCACTTGTCACAAACAAGAATCATATACGAACTTGCTTCGAAATTCTACCAATACTTCTCGAATATTGATTATTCTGCGTACTACATACAATTGTCAACTTCTTTATATTATATATATAATTATTTCTTTTGGATTTTCCTATTTTTATTTCCCTCTAGAATATAAATAATTTTCTAATTTCTAGATAATGCTCTATGCTCATTTATTGGATGGGTTTTGTATTATCTAATCTGCAACTGAATATTTCGAAATTGAAAGATTATATATTTTTAAGTGGATGCTTGTTTGCTTGTAGACTTGTAGTTGCATCCATGGAAAATTTATTGCTTCGGTGGCTTCTATTTTTTTTTTTTTTTTAAGCTAGGTGTAGAGTTATTGATAACATGTACGATTAAATATAGAATATCTATTATTAAAAAAATGGGGCCAATTTGCTAAATATCTCTGGCCGTTAATACTCTTTTAAATCGGAACAATCGAATTTTTGCAATTTGATAAAAATCATTTCTTCTTCACATTCGCCTTCAACGCGTCTACCCTAACTATTCACTTTTAAATTCCGTCCAACTCCGCTACACTCGTCAAATCTGCTCCACCCCCGCTCTTCGCAGCTGCCATCATCGAAGTTTTCTAAGTTGCCTAACTTCATGGTAAAATTACATGAAAACCCTTTTTTCTACATTTTTGCTCATTAATGTAACTAAGCTCTGTAAATAAGTTTACTAAGTTGTCCGTGTAAGTTGTGTATGTGTTGTGGAATGCATCTATTCTTGTTTAAGTTTTTTCTTCAATTTAGTTGAACTAAGTTGTTTCTTGTTAATATAACTAAATTGTTGTTTATTAATATATAACTATACTCTGCAAATCATCGCGTCGCCGTAACCGTTAGTTTTCCTAAGCAATTTTGTTAGAGAAACTCCAGACCTAAGGTCAGATCTAGAGCGAGAAAGCGCACAAGAACTAAAAGATAAAATTCGTCTACCCTTATAGCCATAGAGAATATTTTATAGGACTTAGAACTAAATTCCCAAAATAGTATTATGTGCAGTATGCTGATTGTAAAGGTGGTTGTTTGACAAAATCCTATTATTAAAATTGTCACATGTCATTAAAAATGTCACATGTCATCTTCTTTAGAAAAAAAAAATTAAATTGTCACATGTCATCGATTATGTCATTTAAAAAAACACACACACTTCAGGTACACTTGTATTTTCACAATCATGTGTTGTCCAGATAATTTCACAAGGCATGAAAATTTTTTCAATTTTTTATTAAACTTTATTTTCTTTATTAGTGAAGTACAAGGCAAAACAATCCCATATATGATGAAAGTCTAGTTGCCCAAATAAGTATTTTCTCGTGGCTAATCAATCATATTCATATGTAGTTATTAACTCTTTCCAAATGAACTTCATTATCTAAGTCTAAATCTTAATTAAGCCGAACATTGTCAAGTTTAGAGACGACGATATGGTCTATTTCACATCTCACTTTAATATAATTACGACAACACATGAGTTAATAAAACAAAAATTAAATATGATCTCACTTCATTAAGATTATTTGCACAACAAGATGTAGAATTTAACAAAAATTCAAAAAAATCACACAAGAAATCAAGAAAGCAATCCGCTTGTCGACCTTCCAAGTAAATTAGCAGAGAGCGCTTCTAAAAAATATATATATATGGCGCAATATTTATTGAAACGGAAGATGAAGAATGACTAATCATCACTTGTGTATGTATTTGTATGTCTATGCATGATATCGAACAGCGTGCAGTAGTCTGGTTGCAAATCGATCTTTAACGAATGTTTGAGGTGTTGATGGGGCTTGGAGTGTGAGTAAAAGATCTGAGTGAAGTGGATGGAGATGGCGGCATTGTGTTATAACTCTTAACCAATGGCATCAAAGACTGTACCACGTCCGTTATCAACGGTCTGTAATCAGCTTCCGTTTGTACGCACATTGCAGCTATAGCTGCAACCTGAATTAATATATATTCCAATCAATTTCAAACAATTTAAATTAGTACTTAATGATTATACGAATTAATAAAAATTACTTGAATAAGATCCTTGTTGGAGTAGTGTCCCTCGAGCGCTGGATCTATCATTTCTATCACTTTTTCTCTGTTTGTCAAACGTGGAAGTGCCTGCGGTTACAATCAATCCCATCATCGTATTCATTCTTTCATCATCATCATATTATTATTGTTATTATATTAAAATGGATTACTGACCCATGAAACAAGGACATGCTCTCCAGGTGGACGACTCGTATCAATAGGCACACGCCCTGTCAAAAGCTCTAACAGAATCACACCGTAACTGTATACATCCGACTTTGTTGTAAGCTTTCCTGTTGATGCGTACCTATTATGCGTGCCAAGTTTTGATTGGGGAATTTGCAAAATAATGAAATTACTTCAAAGGCAAAAACAACAAATAAATAATGAATTACTCTGGCGCCAAATATCCGGTTGTTCCTAAAACTCGTGTTGAGATGAGGCCGTTGAGTTTGTCCGATCCGATTTTGGCCAACCCAAATCCAGAGAGTTTAGGTCTGAAGTTTAGATCCAAGAGAATGTTGCTGCATTTGATATTGCGATGAATGATGGACGGGTTTATGTGCTCGTGTAGGTATTCCAATGCTCTAGCACAATCGAGTGCTATCTTCATACGAATACCCCAATTCAACGCGGTCCCGCATCGGTGGAGATGCTTCTCAAGAGAACCGTTCGGCATGTACTCAAACACAAGTGATCTGTGATGTTGGTCCGCGCAGTAACCCAAGAATTGCGATATATACGGAGACCTCAACCGGCTCAATAAATCTACCTGCTCCATTTACAAAATTAGATCTCTATTCAAATTTGATGTTCTTAACTATTATAGTGAGTAATGAATCAAACAAACCTGGGAGCGAAAGGCACGTTCGGCGGATCTGCCTTGTGCGGGCAGTGTTTTAATGGCGGCCGAAGTGCCGTCCCTGAGCACACCTCTGTACACACCATTTACTAGCACATTTCGCTCACTGAATTTACTAGTGGCGATTTCGATTTCTTTGAGACTAAAAACTTGGACTTGGAAATGATTATGGTGCGGTGTGTTGGTTGTTGTTGTTGTTGTCCCGTAAAGGCAGCTTGCTTCAGAAGCGATGTTGATTGTGCTGTGAGCGATGAACATGCAATTGCTGTTGTTTACGACATTTTTATTATTATTAGTGGATGATGAGGAAATGCTGCTTATCCTGTTTGCGGTGTTGCTTCTTGAGAACTGTAGGCGACGGAGCATCAATGCCAATAACAGGATTGCGAATAGCAATATAACAATGATTACCGGGATGAGTATTATTACAAGTGATGAAGATGGTATTATTTCATGGTGTTCCGACAACTCATGCTGGCTATGGTTGTGGCTGTGATTCTTCGAAGCTGGAGGAGAACCATTGTCGTAATTTTCCATCAGAGAGAGAGAGAGAGAGAGAGAGAGAGAGAGGGTATATGTGTTTTTGCTGCTGCTGCACTAGTGTGGGTTTTTCCTTATTATTGTTATGATGGGGGAGAATTTGTGCTGTGGGATTTGGTGTTATGTGGGATATAATATAACCCGTGATCACAATATAGCAATAAAAGCTACGGGTACTTGTTACTTGTGTCTCCACTTTTGTATCATGCAAGGTCTAGTCTTTGTCTTACCCATTGTATATTTTTGGAATTTTTTGCCACATGAATTTTATCACCTTAGATTTTCTGCATTTTCCATCCAATCATAATTAGATATGTTGTTCAAATATAGTATTATATATACTCTAGGATGAATTAATTAAAAACAAATAGAATTCAAATTGTAATGCAAACAAATTAGGCTCATTTACAATCATAAATTCATAACCAACATAACCATCGAATATAATTAATTATATGTACAACCATAAATACAAAATAAATTCTCACTTCACCAACCCTCATTAGGAGAGTTGGTACCTAGCCTTTACCAATAGGGTAACGGTCTAGGGTTCGAGTCCCCCCCTCCCCTACTTCCCCTTGTAATGGACTTGAATTTACTCAAAAAAAAAAAAAAATTAATAAATTCTCACTTCTTCTGCATATGACACTCATTCTTTCCCCAATTCAATCACTCAAATATTCTAGGACACCATGTAAGCAAACAAACAAACATACAAACAATCGAGAACCGGAAAGGACAGCCCACAAACAAAAATCATCATAGGATTTGCAAGTCCTCGCCGTCTTCACAATTAGAGTCTGCAAAGTGGTCAAAGAAAGTATCGAGATACCACGGACTTTTTTCGTTAAAATCACCCTTATTAGCATGAGCTCGCCACCGTTGGTCTGCTATCATGTCAGCTGAAAGTCCCCATTCTTGCATCTCTTCATCGCTGTGATGGATTGCCAAACTGTATTCTCCCCCAATACCTAACTGCATCACTCTAAACTCGCAATTCCCAAGGTTATTCAAGTACTCGAACTGCTCAACTGTCCATTTAAACCACTTCATTAGAAAAACCCGTATTGCAAGTCCATGCGACACTATTACAAGATTAAGTTCGTCCGTCGAGTCCTGTTGAAGCCTGTTCATATCTATGTCCCTCCATAAAGATTCTAGAAAGCCTGCACGCAATACAATCATTCTTTAACTATTCAACTAACGATCTCCAGTTGCTAACAATATAACTAAACTATACAGTTTCAGTAGAATATTGACATCTTACAGTAGAATGTACACATAAGTGAATATAAAAGGCAATGATATATAGATTATGGCATAAAAGGCAATTAATTTGTCAAAATTCAGTCAACATATGTCACGAGAGGTCTTTCAATATCCTTTCGACAGTCACCATGTGTTCATTATTAATTAGGATTTACTTCTTATGCCCCCTTTCCCCTGGGGAGTGGGTGGGTTGGGGAAACATAATCCCAAATCCATCAAAACGTAATTTTCTTGAATATCCAGATCAAAAGGGTTACAAAGTTATACTCTCGTAAGAATAACAATTTTGGGATATTATTAGTCCACAAAAATTCCGACTCTCAACCTGAGTCTCTACAGCAATCGAAGTCTCCCCAATCCAAGTACATAACATTCGTTTCTCAATCTGAATATTCGAACTCCACAATCAGAGCTTCAGTCAAAGTCTTTTGTGTCCTTCCACCAGTAACAAACAGCAATTACCAGGTCGACTCCGTAAGAGGATGTAGTGAAATATGAGATAGAACAACAAACACGTCTAGAACCTAATTGAAAACCCAAACTAAATCTGAGGGTAGTACCGGACACACTCATCTTGATCATAATCTCAACTGGCACAAAGCGTTCAGAAAAGGTGTTAGGAAATAATACGTCCTGCTAGGGAATTATGTCTAGTACAGGGGGCCTTGTACCATTTTTTCATATTTCGCCACGAGTTTAACCGTATACTGGTTCCTCGTGACATACAGGAAGCCCTTAAATGACTAGGATCAGTTCTTGAAGGAATCCAAGACTTAAAGAAGAATCGAACAAGGTATGCCTCAGAATTAACATCATGCAAAACCCCATGGCTGCAATTGGATATTCACAGAGAAACATAGAGGAGGTATAAATATTTCAAGATTCAATGTTCATCTTGTTGGAGAGGGCTTCACTAAATCATTTAATATAAACATTTGCGTCAGTTGCGAAACTAAAGAGGATTCAGGTACTACTATTTTGCTGCAAATCTAGATTAGCCTCTTCACTAATAGCATGTGAAGCATTCTTCAAAAACAGCGACTTAGAAGAACCGCTGTACATGAAATCCTCCAGGATTGGAGACTGAGATCACAAGGAACAAAGTATATATGCTAAAGAGATGACTATTTGGTCTCATACAATTACCTAGAGCATGGTTTGAAAGATTATGGAGACAATTTAGAGTTATGAAATGTGTGCAAGATGAAGAGAAAACACTCTTTTGTGAAACATCAGGAGAAAACACTCTTATATTTTTTTATGTAGTTGACATCATTGTCACGGGCATGGTTAGCTGGAAGTAAGTCTAAAAAAAAGATCTTCCAAAGGAATTTGAGATAAAAGACTGAGGAAACCGAAGATACTTCATTGGTCTCAATAAGGATCACCTACTGATTTCTTATCTCATTTCGAAGGTACCCACACAAATCGGTTCACCCTGAACTACTACTTAAGAGTTAAGAGAGCAACATTATATTTTACCTTTTCAACTATTGTTAAGAACTCAACGTTAGTCAAAATGAGGCATCCAAATTGGATTGAAGTAGTTTTAGATCATAGTATTAAATTTACTCATTGACATAGATTTGGGTAATATTCTTCGACATCTAGTCAATATTTCATCTTAACAACCACTGCCGACCGACCAAATATTTTTATCTACATATAAAAAAAAAATTGTTGTCATCGTGTCATTGATGATAACTACACAACACACAAGTAAACAGTGAAAAATGATCCACTTTCTCATCTATAATATTTTCCGAGAGATACAAAAAAATGAGGACTTGTTGGTAAAACTAACTAAAGCGTGCAGGGTTTGATTGGAAAGCAGTCTCAATTTATTTTCCAGGGCAGCATATCAACCAAGAAATCATGCTCAAATTTGTTTCACCACTTAGGTTATTTTATAGATGCAAGAAAACCTCAGTAACTCCAAACAAAAAACATGTTATTATGCATCTACTTAGAGCAGGTTTGCAACAACTTTGGAGTATGCACATGCAGAGGAATATACTGAACAATAGAAATTGAACATGCATGAGATGAGCCTAGTTCTTTTAAAAATGATTTATAATGACGAAGTTTCGGGAAAATGCTTCTCTTGCTCTTCAACAAAAAATGAAGTGGCTATAGTTTAAAGCTGGGAAAAAAACGCACAATAAGTCATGGTCCATGCCCCAAAAGGATCTTTACAGTCAGAACACCAAGCAAAAAAGCATCATAAAAGGGGTAATAGGGCACAAATTTCGTCAAAAACGAATAAGAAGTTTGTTAGCCAACATCCTCCATATGAAAAGAGAGAAATTATTCTTAAAACTTTATCTGCTTATGGTTTATACTACAGCAGCTGAACTCCTTTTTATCATCAAGAATCAACAGTATGATGTGAAAGTGTACACAAACTACTCATAAATTGAAGTATGTCACTAATTGTATGCTGAAGGCTACTATGATCATTGTCCAAATCCAGTAGCAATTATGTAAATCGAACAACTAACAGACAAATTTAAAAAAATAAACAAGACTGAGAGCAGTAAATAAACATACTTGAAACTCGATCGTAAACATCGGCAGCAGACTCTCCTTCAGGAAAGCGGTAAAAGAATCTGCCGAACCTCTCTCTGGTCTCCTTGATCGCTTTCATCCGTTCAGCGACCTGAAAATTGCCGAAATCCTGCTCTCTGACACGACATTCTTCCCTAGCACCAATCACTCTGTTTCTAGGGAATGATCGGCCGATTTCCCGGAGTGTGGAACGAGTCCTCAGATAGGGGGAAACATAAAAGTATACCTTCCAGTTGGACGAAGCGCCGCCGCGTGAAACAACGTCGCAGATCCCGGAGCCAGCACGTTTGGCCTGGTCAATCCCTAGCGGAGTTAGAGGTATTTTGTTGTCCGGCGTGGTGGAGTAGGCTGCTCCGTCTATATTGCCGGCGCTCTCGCCGTGCCGGACTAGAATTATGCGCTTCGGGAGGGCCCTCGGTCTCGGGCTAGGGCTAGGGCTTGGGGAGTAATCTACCATATTACAGAATAATGTAGGATTTGTTCTATCTGCTATACATTGATACGAATCGATTTAATAAGTTTGTGTTCTACAACTGTAGATTGACGCGTCGGAGGGGCGGCGCCACCTATCATATCATAATGAAAATGGAGGAGGAGGAGGAGGAGTGTTCAGTTTTGACCCACTGTTAATTCACTTGAATTTGTCAACCTTCTCAACTTTAAATCACACAACTTTTTAGTTTAAAATTTTGATTTTAGTTTTAGAGAGCACATTTTTATTTAAGATCTTATAATTAGTAAAATAAGAAATAAGCTCATTATCCAAACACCCAAAAAATTAATTCTAAAAATAAGATGTAACAGCTTATGAGCTTATCAGTTCTATAAAATCTTATCAGACATAAGAACTTATCAGCTGTTTAAAATAAGCTTAGCCAAACACCCTCTTAATCCCACATATATTTTCGTTAGCAAAATGAACTCGATTTAATTTTTTTTTTTTTTTTTAAGGTAAACCACCTAAATTTTGTCCTTCTTGCGGATTACCACCTCACAAAAAAAACGTTGTACGATCACACTTAAACTTGTTATTTTGTGCTTCGTTGCCTATTTTTGGGTCATTTTGGTCGGAATTCACTTTCATGTGTGATGCACATGTTGTGAATTCCGACCAAAATAGCCTGAATGCGGCAACGTGGCACAAGATAATGAGTAATTGTGCAACTTTTTTTTTTGTTGAGATGGTAATTCGCAAAAAGAGACCAAATTTAGGTGGTTAAATGCTATTTACTCTTTGTTTTATTTGAGCACAAGTAAAAGTTGTGGCTTGCCATTTATGCATTTTCTATTACTTTTTTGGCACTATTATATCGGATTCAATGAACATAGCTCTAGTGTGGCGTCTACTTTTTTTTCCCTTTTATAAGAAAAATGGTGCCGTCTACTTTATTGGGTCTAAAATGTTGTGATAGATTTAAAATAGGGGTTTACTATTCATAGTGCATTTTTTTTCAGTTACAGCGCGAAATAATTCATTTGTCAAAAAACCCTTTAACATTTTTTGAAATCCTCTCAACCTCCGAATTTTAAAACTTACCAAATCGTCAAATTTGTCCGATAGTATCATTTAGAACACAATAATTATCAAGAAGGATGAAACCTACTTCGATTTTGAAATAAAAAAATGTGTTTTTTGTCGATTTTCGACATTTTTATGAATTTCGTGTTCTGTTGCACGAAATGAAACACTCCATTTCGTGCAATACAACACGAAACATTTTTTTTCTTCAGAATTTTGTATTATTTCGTGTAAATTTACACGAAATACAAGCTTGCATTTCGTGTAAATTTACGTGAAATGCAAGCTTGCATTTCCTGTAAATTTACGTGAAATCACTATTTTTTTTAATTACTTCATTTTTAACACTCAAATAAATACAAGAGAATAACAACAAACTTAAAATGAAATTCAAATACTAAATAAATTAAAATTCAAATGTAAATACAAATTAAAATAAACCTATATTTCATAAACTACGGACCGGCCATACTTTAATATAAGGGGTAATGGCAAATAGGCCCATGATAAGGGCACTTAATTAAAATAGGGACATCCAACTTTTTTGTCTTTCAAATAAATCCACCCCATTCAAACTTATTTGCAAATAAGGAAAATCCCTTTATATATACCAAAATTACCCCCAATTCATTTGAAACCCAATTTAACTCCAATTTCATGATTTACACCCCAATTTAGCCCAATTTCATCAATTAACCAATTTTAACCCAAATTTCAATTTTGACCCCAATTTTAACCCTAATTCGTATCAATTCCACCCATTATGCTCTAACTTCTTTAATATTACACATTGACCTCGGATTTTAACAAATATATCACATTAACCCCCAAAACTTTTTTTTTTTCAGAAAATAATTTTTTTTCTGAAATATTTTTTTTCCGGCTATATTCCGGCGTCGACCGCCGGAGACCGCCGGTCTCCGGCGTTGACTTTTTTTTTTTTTTTTTTTTTTGAAATTTTTTTTCCTGGAATTTTTTTCCAGTCGGTCAACGGCCGTTAACCGCCGGGTCTCCGGCGTTGACTTTTTTTTTTTTTTTTTTTTTTTTTCTTAAAAAAAATATTTTAATTAATTTTACTGTCTTGATTGCTAAATTACTGTCTCCGGCAGCTATTTAACTGTCGGAGACAGTAATTTAACTGTTAATTGACTGTTTTTTTTTTTTTTTTTTCTTCAAAAATATTTTAATTAATATTACTGTATTCGTTGCTAAATTACTATCTCCAGCAGTTATTTAACTGTCGGAGACAGTAATTTAACTGTTAATTGACTTTTTTATTCTTAAAAAAATATTTTTAATTAATATTACTGTATTCGTTGCTAAATTACTGTCTCCAGCAGTTATTTAACTGTCGGAGACAGTAATTTAACTAATAATTGACTTTTTTATTCTTAAAAAAAATATTTTTAATTAATATTACTGTATTCGTTGCTAAATTACTGTCTCCAGCAGTTATTAACTGTCGGAGACAGTAATTA